ATATATATATATATATATATTATATTGTATTATTATTATTATTATTATTATAATTATTATTATTGTGTCTAAATGAATAAAACCACACTGCCAGTCTATGTAATGGAGTAAATAGTTATTGGCTCAAAAATTCCAAAGTAAAAGACAAAAACAGTATACTTTTATAGTCTTCACAAACCTTCCATTTATATGGTGTCGCTCTCATTTTTGTCTATAGGGGCCCAGAGCCTGCACGTACTCCCTGTCTATGGCACTGAACTGGTACATGTCGCCGTCGGTGCGTATGCTGTAGAAGACCGCTTCTTTTTCGAACAGGCAGATATCGCACCGTTACCAATTGACTCTTACATTCTTGACTTCATGGAAACAGGTAAAACATTTTCTTTCATTTGCCATTAAAATGCTGTTGAGGGAAAGCACTTTGATCAGGATCAGGGCGGATCCAGTAGGGGCACGGGGAATGTGCCCCCCACCCCATTTTGACACTAATTGTTTAAATTTTATTGCATATCAATGTTATGTAGTAAAATAAGAAAAACAAATGCAAATGTTATCCCCACCTTGAAAAATTCTGGATGCGCCCCTGAGGATGATAATTGTGTTGAAATAGGGATGACGATGATGTCGATGACAATGACGTTACTTTTGAGGATGAGGATAGTGATAATGAGGAAGATGACGGTTAAGGATGATAACAATGATGTTGATAAGGATGATGATGAGGACAAGGAAAATGACTCTTAAGACAATGATGAGGATGACGATGAGGATGAGGGAGATGTTGAAATAAGGATGACAATGAAAATGTCAAGGGCAATGATGATGGGAATGGTGATGATGTTATTGAGAATGGGGATAAGGTTGACTGTTAAGGCTGATGACGATAAGGATGATGATGAGGATAACAAGGACAAGGATCGATAATGATGATGGTGTTGAAATAGGGATGACATTGATGAACGAGGATGAGGATGATGTTGAAATAAGGATGATGATGAAAATATCAAGGACGATGATGATAGGAATGATGATGATGTGGATGACAATATTGTTGGGAATGTGGATAAGGATGAAAGTTAAGTCCAAGGTCAATGAGGAGGACAACAATGAGGATGATGAAGGTGTTGATGTGAAAGATGATGAGAATGAGGTGCATGATGATGAGGATAAGGACGATGAGAGTGAGGACAAATGATAATGAGGTTGATGAAAGGCGATAATGAAGACAATAATGATGAGTAGATTGTAATAGATGATGATGATAATAAACAAGATAGTGGTAGTCAGATTAACATCATATATTTTTTCTTATTTAGGCTCCAGCTTTGAAACAGAAAGATGTTCTTAGGATACTACAGTTGGCAGACTTACAAATAATGATGACAAAGAAATTTGTCTGTAGGAAAAACCGTCCAAAATTAATATACAGCTTTTTCACTTCAAATCTATATATTTTGACACAGATATTATTTTGAAAATCTATAAAAAAAAAAATTATTGTGGCAATTGTTTATATAAATTTAATAAATAGAAAATTATATATATTGTATTACTATTGAAATTATAAAAATGCAATACATAATTCACTTGTACAGTGCAGATTCTATGTGTATTTTTGTATTCACTACTACCAAATATATTATTCTTCAATGTAAACAAAATTATGTGGTAGAAATTAAAAATACGAACCTGTTTTTTTCCCTTTTTTTTTTTTTTTGCTTTTTATGATTTGTATAATGATTACTTGTAACTAAGATTAATATCTATAGTATTTCATTCAGATTAAGCTCAAGTGTGGTTATTAAGATGCTTACTTCAGAAACCCCAGGATCTTTAGTTCAATTTCCATAAAAAACGACAGTTTTAATTCACCTAAAACTACCAAATGTTAAATGGCAACATTTTTTAAAAATTCCTTCATCTCATATCCCATTGCTTTTTCTACCCTGTAGTCTTTATCTATTTGTTTTGATCGTTTAGTTTATAAACATAGATATTTATCCAAATTCAATTCTTCCTGAAGTGAAAGCATTTCAGTGCAATGGTAAACTTGAAGGTGGTTCACACAAAGCAACTGATAATCATGCTTGGGAAAAATTTGCTAGGATTACAAGCCAGGTACTGTAACAATATCAGATTTTTGTCTGTTTTACAGATATCTGATGAGACTTTCTTAGTCATAGTTGGGCCCTGTCCAGACTATAAAATTTTATTTGACAACAACATGCAACATGCCTAAATATGGTCATGATGACATCACATCGTCGCCATATATAGGCACATCATGACTATATATGGCCATTTAACTGTTTTTTGTCAAAAAGAAAATTTGATAGTATGGACACAGAGCTTTAGTTATTTGATTGGAATAATGTCTGATGTATTGTTTCATTAAACAATGTAATGTTGTCTGACAAACATCCTTTTCACATTGTTGTTCTTATTCATGTGAAGAGACCATGTGTGATAAACATTAAATACTGAAGCCCTGTGTACACTGGAGGTTTTATGTGGCAAACTTGTGCAATTTTATGATTGGCCATACATGGGCGTGATAATGTCCATACCCATATATGGATTAATCACAGGTATTTGTCACTCAATATTTGACAATGTGAACGGAGCTTAAAGCTGGGTATGCACTGTCAGATTTTTGTATGTCAGACTTTGATATCTGATCACTCAAAATCATGTTGATAACAATGATTGTGTAACTGTAAAGCATGTTCAGACTATACAATTAATGTGGTCATGATGATATCACACCATGACCATATATAGACACATGATGACTATATATGGTCACATAATGACTATATATGGGCACACAACAGTTACATTGTGAAAGAAAATTTGATAGCGTGGATAGAGCTAAAAAAAATGTGACATGCCGTAATATGATCACATGATGACATCACACCATGACCATATATAGACACATGATGACTATATATGGGCATACAGCAGTTGATAGAATTCTAGCTGTAAATGTTTGACCACCTCCAGGTGTAATGGTTAGTGTATCACAGTGCAATAATATTATCATGTGAAATGAAATTACTTGCCTTAATTAAATGCGTTAATTAAAAATTATATTTTTATGACAGTTGTTTGAATTTATATCCCTACTGGTAAAATTATTCTCTTGGCAGTCACTAACCTTATCCATGGTTTTTTCTCATCGTCTATTCTGCTGTTTACATGTATTTGCCAATGTAAATTAAATAATATAATTGAAATAAATAAATAAAATATTTATATACAGTAAACTATATTTAATGTCAAGTATATTTATACGATATTTTCCACAATGCTGCAATACTGTATATTTATTACATAGTAAATTAAGCAAATGCTATTTCATACTTAATGTGTACTTTATATACTTACATGTGCTTATTATATTGTTAATTTATTTTTTTGTGATATTAAATATTTAATTTCTATTATCTTGCCACGAGGGTCTAAATGATCACTTCCTTTAAGATACATCGCCCTCCGAAAATATAATGAATAAAAAATAGTTATCTATAGCTGTCGTTATTAATGTTATATTCATTCAATCATTCGTCCGTTCGTTCATTTATTCAATTAATAATAATAATATTTGAGCATTTATATAGCGCTCTTCACAGTGCTTAAAATGTATGCAACACTGGAAAAAGGAGTTTTAAGAAGAGATTTGAATTGAGAAAGAGTGGGAGTAACGAATAGCAGTGGGAAGTTTGTTCCAGAGAATAATGGCTAAGGCAGCTTAGCTCAGTCGGCTAAACTGGCGGTACCCACTAAAGATCTCATGGTCCCCAGTTCAATTCTTTTCGTTGCTTTCCTTGTGTTTCAGCTGGAGGGCTGAAATGCAAGTTACAATAGCGCACGTGTGTTTGTGAGACGCGCGCGTATTCCTAGCACTGTTCTGATTAGTCAGTTAAGTTTGATTGACACTCCTGAAAGGTCTATTGTCTCCTGGTGCACTGCCCAATCACTACCAGAAGGACTCAACTGGAAATTAGTATTCGGACCTTGTGATTCATAATGCTACGCTAGGTAATAATACATAAAAGCCTTTGGAACAGAAGTTGGTTATTTCAGAATCTTAAAAAATTAAATTTGTTAGCTATTGTCATTATTTTAATTCTTCATTCGTTCATTTATTCATGTATTTTAATTCGTTCAGTTTTAAAAATGCTGCAAAAAAACAAAACAAAAAAACATACAAGAGAGGTTGTCAGCATGTTTGCAATGGACAATCACTCATTCATTCTTTCGTAATAGCTGGTCATCAAGCAGTGGTGTATCTAGGATTCTTGAAATGGAGGCTTATGGGGCACAATGGTGAAGTGGGGGTCCTCGATGATTAGCTAGGTGAGTGGTTGCAAGCTCGCAAAATACGGTGATTTGAGGTGATTTTGAACTACTTGAGCGTGATTTTTTTCAGGCGACTGGGTAGGGGTGCATCCCCTAGATACGCGACTGCATTCAATTATCACGTAATCATTCAATTACAAAAAATAAAAATTATTCATTTATTTGTTTATTTGATCATTTTTTCATTCATTTATAGTCAAGTAATTTATATTTTATTCATTCAATCATTTATTATTTTATTTAATTAAATGTTCCTAAACGTGACCTCAAGATTATAAGAAAAATAAGAAACAAATCAAGTTTTTCACCAAAAAAATACTACCAACCCCTACAAGCCGAGAGAAAGCATTGACCGCCCAAACGACAGACCGACCTCGTTCAAAATTAATTAGATTTTCATTAGATTCCGTTGGGCGTTAATTATTCCTTCAGGGTATTAGCAAAGATGCCCTCGGTGTCACATATTTACAAATAGATATTTGCTTGATAACTTATCTAACACAAAACTAAGGTAAATAGATTCGTCCTATCCCGTCCAAAACCACTTTCGACAAATCTGGGGTCGTGTTTTGAAAATTCTTATGCACTCATATTAAACAAAGCAGGCTTATCTATATACAAAAATAACAAAATTGGTTCAAAATCATAATTACTGTGAACTTTGCCGCCCGCAAATCAAAAACTACCAGTGGTCACTTATCACAAACCGAGGTCCATTCTAAATTGCAAAACTTGGCTTCACGTAGGGGCCAGGCTTGTTTTGATATCCATACTAGCCAATTATGGACAAGCTACTAAACATCGATGATATAAGATTGTTTAATGTAAAGTTTCATCTATTTAAATCCAAATACATGTATAATAATATAATAATAATGCATAAGAATGTATAAAATGCCTAGCCACCAGTGCTAAAACAAAAAATATTTGAAGCAGTCACGATGGTGGTCCAGTGGCGTACCTGAATAGAAACTGGGTAACTCTGCCAACGTATCGTAGCCTTCACTGGGGGATGCAGGTTATCCCTTCATTCGCTGGCGCAACTACGGACTGGGACGGAATTCATAGAGAATATGAAGCATGCACAAAATAAAATTCACAGAAAACATTGAATACCGCATTAAAAAGGATCAAATCTCTTATTTACAGATCTGACTACAAAATGACTTAAATTGATTACCAGCCAATTTAAGGGTCTATGTACAAGAAACGATAGGACATACGTTAACTGACAAAAAAATTCGAAAGCAAATTAATGCTCACTTTAATAAAGGAATTCATTGTATTGTATTCTTATAAAATTCAAATATTCTAAAAGTGATTTAAATAATTGATTCCCTGCCTCTCCTCCCCTTCCACCTACGTCTCCCACTAATCAGCAAACACTTTGTCATGGAATCTATAACTTTATGTAGTCTTTCGATCAAGGAAGTGTTTTGATGTAATTTCCTTCGAAATACATGCAATGTTTTTGTAATCAAATTCTGGAATTTTTACTTGAGCCGAAACCGGATCACTACCAATTACAAAAGCTACTTCTGAAATATCGGTATTATTTCCTCAAAAGTAAGGTGTAGTTGCGAGCCTCTCGGTTGATTTATTCATGGTTAAGTGAAACAATTCCTGTTCCTCCATATTCCGTTTCATTTCGTAGTCTTGTCGCTTCAGACCGTCCCTCAAATGACTGCTATTGGCAGCTAAGCACATTAAGAAGTTCACCTTTAAATATAAATGAAATTAAATAGATTTTTAACGTGGCACTGGTTGTTATTAGATAGATTGTCCCGGTCGACCATCCCATTAGCTTTTTAAAATAGTAGCCCATCCTCAGGTTCCACGAATAGTCTGGTACCGTACTGATTCGTGAGTCTACAGAAATTTGAACATTTCCTCTGATCATGATAATGATGGTGATGATTATGATGGTGGTGGTGGTGTTGATGATGATGATAATGATGATGTTGATGATGATTGTGTTGTTGATGATGATTGTGTTGTCGATGGTGATGGTGATGGTGTTGGTTATGGGAGGGGTGGCGCCAGGATTTGCCCGACGGGGGGTCCGAGGTCCCCGACGGGGGAGCCGGGGTCCCCCGACGAGGTGTCAGGTTTCCCCGACGAAAGCAAAGTGGGCGTGGTCGAGCTTCGATTAAAAGTCTTCGAAAGTGGAAATTTTCGACAATTTAGGGGTTTCAAAGGCTTATATTTAATCGATTTTAGAGTCTACTAATATGTAAAAAATACATAGAATATTTTTTCTCCCCGACGAATTGTGCTTTTTCTCCCCAACGGAGGGGGGGGGGAGCTCTCCCCGACGGGGGGACTCCCCCCCCGCTGGCGCCACCCCTGGGTTATGGTAATATTGGTGGATAGTGGCGATGGTGATGATGGTGAAGAATGATGGTGGATTGTGTGTCAATGATTATGAGGGTGACAGTGATAGTGATGGTGATTATGATGATGATGATGATGATGATGATGATGATGATGATGATGATGATGATGATGATGGTGATGATGATGATACTGATGATGTCGATGTCCACAAAAAAATTCCTACAACCAATCTTCTTACCATTCCAAGGGTTGCTAAGCAAGCTGCCAGGAATGAAACCAACGAAAAGACGTAAGCTTTCTCGGACTGCAATGTGGAAGGTACAGACGTGGCATTGTATTAGTAATGTCATATAACTCATTGAAAGATAATTTAAAACCTCGCTTTTTATCTTTGCCTTATAGAACTTCGTTACAAGTTGCGCTTAATAATTGAAACGGAAATTTCATCCTACTATAGCACCCACGCACAGCCTCCTATATTCTTCAACACAAATCACCCTTTGCATTTTCTTAAATTGTTTTCTAAAACATCATTGTTTGATTACAGTGCAATTTTTATATTACCATCGTTGATGAAAACTACAGTATTCACCCGATTGAATTTGCATATCAATATCTGCCATATAAATCTTACAAGCTTGAAAATTCAAAAATAAAGTTGAATTTATACCGTAGGCCTACTTGGTTGATTTTGTATTATTATTTCAATAATTTATTAGGCGGCTTTCAACTAGAAATTATAAATTTGTCCTCGCCAATTAAGGGATATTTAATTAATAATATTTGTATAGTTATTATATACTTTATAAAAGCATTCATATGGTGGTTACAGGCCTATATACTTTATGATAGCATTCATATATTCTTTATATACGTTGTAATACCATAATATAGTTTTTATACACTACCGTATATAATATCGTTCATATAGTCTTTACTTCATAATTTCTTATCATATTTTTGGAACAGTTGAATTTTTATAGTTTTTGATGATCATTTTTGTCACATATTTAATTATTGTAAGGATAAGAAAGTTATTGGTTGATTCTTTTTTTGTAATTTTTAATGTTTTTTAACTTCAATTTGTATTATATGGTCAAATTGCAATAGAGTAGTATCGTATCGTAAATCATGAACCAGTGATCCCTCACTGGGGCTTCAAAGTGCTGGTAAACGGAGAGGCAATGCTGTTTATTTTTTCAAGGGCCTTGAGAATTTCTTTAAAATGAGCGCTATACGAATCTTATTTTTAATATTAGTACAGTGAGGCCAATAATGGTGTAGGATACGCCTATATCATGTAGGTCAATTCAGGAAATCGTAATGGTACACCATTATGTTAGGATATTAAATTAGGAAATATACGTGACGTCATGAATACATTTTATATTTCCTGTATTGCACAACTTTGTACAACAAGTATTTCTCAAATTCTAAATTCTAAACACCCTTCCAATTAAAGACCACCTTCAATTAAAAACCACCTCCAATTAAAGACCACATTTCTGTAGTCCGATATTAACAAAATAACGTATTATGTTTTTGTTATTCTATAATTAAAGACTAAATCTGCTAAAAGACCACGGAAACCCCGGTCCTAAAAGTGGTATTTAATTGGAGGTATCTGATTTAAAAAGGAACGTCACCAGTTTATCTAGTGTGAAATAATTATTCATAGTCCTAAAGTTTTACTTTAATAAACTATATTCCTAAAAATCTATTTAAAAGGAGCTTTTGTAAAGGCTAATGGTTAAAGCAAACAGTCATTGATGATTTTTACAAATGAATTTTGCAAACCACGCTGAGCCGTCCCTTGAAAATCAATTTATCCTCACCTGTTGACAATACACCAGTAAAGCCTCATCACACACTGTTGATCCAGGTTCGCCTATGCCTACATTTGAAGGAGCAGTCATTTTATTAAAATCAAATGCATTCCCGTGATGATAACCGTAATTTCTATTTAATGACCACATCTTTAATCAATTTAGAATTTGTAATAAAAAAAAACACTGCTCAAACATAAACGTTCACTTCTGGAGATCGTGAATGTACCAAAAAAATGTTGTCTATCATTTTAACTTATTTAATTGTCTCTCCATACAATAAATGAATGTGAAAGTATAGAGCGTTTAAACAAGGACACTAAATCACTTTCGAAATTCCCAATATAAGCTATTTTAGTCTTAGCCTCTGTGCTGTGTTGTAATTTATTGTTTATTTGATCAGGGGGTTTTAGAGGATACCAACATGTTGGGCTCTCGGCCAGTGTTGTCCTCTCGTCACACCTGGCCATTTTCTGATGTGTGATTTTGTGCCGAATATATTACATATAAATAAATAGATATATAAGTGGCAACTTGATAAAGTGTATACAGCTATGGATTTAGCAATGAGAAAATTCTGGTTGAGGTTCTCATATAAATACTCAGGTCTTATCGTCATAATCTATTATCGTCATAATCATCAGCAGCAGCATCAATTATTATTATTATTATTATTATTATTATTATTATTATTATTATTATTATTATTATTATTATTATTATTATTATTATTAATAGCAAGTTACTTACCATACCACGTCAGGTTTAGACAAGCGCCGGGACTGACTTCATCATTGCTTTCATTAATAATGCCATCACTGTAACAATATTCCGTTGTCATTTTCATGAATATGGTGGGAATGACAAAACTGCAAGTTATGAACAGCCATACGAGCATCATGAAGTATTATTACGATTAACCTTTGGCTATTGCAGCTTAGCAACCGCTGACTTTGATTATTTTGCTTCACAATTATGTGAGAAAAAGCAGGATGTAAACTCCTTGGATACTTGTGTACTTGCGCAGTCTGCTTCTCAGGTCAGGTTGTTACTTCATAGCTCGTAAATAAAAGTTTGTAGTGCCAAGTGGCAGCACCTGTTATCCGAGTGTTGAACAATCTTAAGGAGGCTATAACTTTTATGAGCCTCTTTTCAAGCATAGACTTAATTCAGGAAAATATATGAGAATTATTTGAATATGTGCAAGAAAATATTACAATTCGAGTTTACATTTTATACTATGTTTAACATTGTAAACCCCACTGAATTGAAAAAAATTAAGTTTCAATAAATATGATAATTAAAATACATGATCTGCGATCATTTCATCTCATGATGTTGGGGGCTCCATGGCTGATGTGATGATGATGACGATCGATGATGATTACAATGATGACTATACAATGATGTGGTTGATTCACACCGTTACGTTAAGCTAATTATTCTACCTGCACTCCTGTACCAATAAGCAAACAAAATCGGATGGGTGATGGGTCTGCACTTCGTGTATTTAATCATGTTATACTATCCATACCGAATCATCAGTCAACCATAAATGGATCAGATACCAGTAAATATGATAATTAAAATAAATGATCTGCGATCATTTCATCTCATGATGTTGGTGGCTCCATGGCTGATGTGATGATGATGACGATCGATGATGATTACAATGATGACTATACAATGATGTGGTTGATTCACACCGTTACGTTAAGCTAATTATTCTACCTGCACTCCTGTACCAATAAGCAAACTAAATCGGATGGGTGATGGGTCTGCACTTCGTGTATTTAATCATGTTATACTATCCATACCGAATCATCAGTCAACCATAAATGGATCAGATACCAGTAACCCAAGGAGAACTACTTCCGAAACAACAGCTGAGGTTTACATTCCTACACGAATATTAAAAATTTTACGAATACGACAATCATATCTAATAACATTTAAAAACAAAATATAGGCTCAAACAACATCATAACCCCACCCCCAACCACCACCATCATCGTCGTCGTCGTTCTTTGTTATTACCCTGCCATCATCAATCATAATCCTAATAATCATTGGTCCTATGACGACCAGCATCGTCATCATTACCACCGCCAACTATTATTATTGCTTGAAGATTTGGAGGGTAACTACAATCTGTAGGCCTAAATGATTATCGAGTAAATAGTTCTAAAATATAGTTGCCTTATTGAGAATATCTGGATGTTACGTAGTTTGCTTTCCATCAGAGAATGGTTCCGAAAAGAGTAAAATGAAAATTAAGCCTATGTGCATAATGTGTATGGTTGGAGTTGAATGATTGATTGATTGATTGACAGCTACGGGAGCCATATTTGTAGTCAATTCCGATATCTCGAAGGAGTTTAATTTACCGCCAAGCTTGACACATTACAGCAGATATTGTCCAGCCAATTTTAACACCCAGCTCCGCTAATGGTAGCTGGTCAACAGCAGACACCACTTTTCACATACCACCCAGTGATGGTCATTAGCCTACAGTAGGCCTATTCTCTTTTAAGAACCATGCTTGATGTACTGCAAGAATTCATTATTAGTTCAATAAGAAGCCTGTACTGGACTGCCAGTGAAAGTTTCTACAATATGCCTATATCCAATTTTCAACGCAATTTACTCACTACGATTTGGTAAGAAAACAATGCTGGTATTGTTTACTCAACAGATTTCCATCAATCATTATTCAATATTATAAACAATGGAAGGAACGTTACGCAAATATAATATGAATCAATATGAATAATTATAGAACAAACGTGACGATTATTGATTTCATGATTCGTTTAAATGAGGCGTCGTCATATAAGACGGGTAAATACAATGCTTAGCTGATTGATAATGCAAATTATAAGCTTCACAGCAGTGGGAGTGGCGACTTTCGTTAATTGTGGTCAACGGTCAATGGCTACGTAGGCCTTCTTGGGTACACAGTACAAAGTCATTACTGTATACTAACGTTAATATCAGATATATTGTATGCACTACACAACAGACTCAATACTGCTGCTGCTGATGATGAGGATGATGATGGATGATGATGATAATGGTGGTGATGATGATGATGATGATGATGATGATGATGATGATGATGATGATGATGATGATGTTGATGATGATGATGATGATTGATGATGATGATGTTGATGATGATGATGAGTATTGTTATGAGGATGGTGGTAATGGCGGTGGTGGTAATGGTGGTGATATGATGATCGTGTTGTGATGTAATTATTTCATTGTCGTTTAGGCATATTATTTATAATCATTCAATTAATAATTACAATTGATTTTTATTTTGTATCATAAATTAATATTGCCATTGTCTTTGTTAATTATAATCTTTATTTTCATCGTCATTAACATTCATTATTATAAATAAATAACTTGGCAAATAAAACGCGTTTACCAAAATGAAATGATTAGTAGGCATATAAGTACCACCATATAACATTGATTATAATAACATGACGTTACTTACAACGTATCCATATCTTCTTTTATCGATGTTTGATCAAACATCTCTTCAGTTTCCGAGATCCCGACCAAGGAAGCACCAGTAAAAAATCCAATTCCCGTACATAAGAGGACAGTAGCAAACATCGATCCATATGGAACGCGTGAACTGCAATCATCACAATTAACTTTACAGGAAGAAAATTATCAAACTTATTACCGAAAGTATCTAAAACATATTTTTAACCAGATGTACAGTATATGTGTATTTATGTCGTTTTTAATTTATGTATTTTGACCAAACATTGACAATACATAAGTAGAATATCGTAGGCCTACTGACGATGCTAAGAAGTAGACGTAGTAGCGAAACTGTACACAAAACAGTAAGCATGTTCGTAAAGGACTACAGAATATAGAATATGAAAAGTAGTAGTTTGATCAAAATGTCATAGTTCAAACATACGGAAGAAAATAAAAAAATCTATTTTCTTCCTCCATGGTTCAAATACATCAGCTACCTCTAAAAATGTATTTTAAATGCAAAGATTTCATTCAAATAGAAGTATGCAGATAATTTGTTTATTTTACAATCAATACAATAACATAGGGATATAAATATCATAAAAATTAAGAAAACTTTTTTTAAGAATCGACATTTTTTTCAATAAAACCTACTATTAGTCCAAGTACTACTGTAATTGATGTAGTTTTACTTTTAAATTTACCAGAGATACCGTATGCTATAAACATTAACACGCGTCTTTCAAAATATCCCGTACATTTTTTTAACGAGAGAACTTAGTCTTAAGTATTAAACAAGATGTATGCATAGAGACTGGCGTAGTTCAAGTTACAAGTTCTTGGAAATATGAAACAATACAAATATTTGATTAACTTTATCATCATAAAAATAATTACACTACGATTGATTGATGTGAAAATCGCTAATAATGCGATTCAACTTACCCATTTTGCTGTCCGTGTTCCCCTAAGTAAATCCAAAATAATGTGCACGCGGTTTTAACTAAAATTTAGGCTATAAAATCAAATTTCTCCAATACATCGAATTTCAATGGATTCTGGTAGCCTTGAGTAGTTTCTCAACTCAACAGCCCAAATGTTGCGTTCGTGTTTACTCTTCCAGTCCTGATCGTATAGTGTACCGTCGCGATAACCAGTTGTACGGAGTCACCAATATGCTAGATATGATGGAACGTGCCGAAGCCGGTATAGAGGGCGACAAATAATAAATAACGTATAACGTAACGTAGCCTATACTGGTATAACTGGATATGTATATTTTTAAATAATTATACTACATAGTTTAAAGAACGGCCTAACCAAGACAGTACCTATCCAGAATTTTTTTAACAGCAGCAACATAATTGGATGGCTCACTGCATAAGGCAATGGCCGGCGGATTTAGGGGTTGGGACCGGGCCGGCCCATACCCCTTCTTTTGGAAAGCCAAAAAAGAAAAAAAAAAAGAAAAAAAAAGGAAAAATTACCGTATCGCCCAAAAAGGACTCAGATGTTATTTTCGGAAATCTAGAAAACACAAATTTCGCGGGGGCATGCCCCTGGACCCCTAACGGTGAAGTTATCTCGATCTGCCGCACTTTCTGCCCCTTTCTCCCTGTCTCTTATACCCCCCCACTTTCATCTCTGGATCCGCACCTGTAAGGAGAGGAAATGATAACATTTGCAATATCCTCACATTCCACATCACATACCGAATAAAGGTCCTGTTTCAACCATGACGATAACGATCAATGATAAAAAGCTAAAAAGCAATTTTCATGTAGGCCTAGAAAATAAAAGAAATAGGGCCTACGAGAATTTTTCTCACTGGCTCGATTCGATAACGATTTATCGTGTATACGCTAAAAAATTACAAATCAAATCAAATGACGTCATAATCATGGGAAAACGATAAAATATTTTTACTACGATTTTATCCTTTTCGCCCTGGACCCCCCGATAGCGCCGCCCCTGGATATGAGCAAAATTGACCAAAAGTCGTCACGCATGTAAGATTCGTCTCTATGAGCTTTAATAAAAAAATCTAGAGGATAAGCCACCAGGATTCCACAATAAGTACCGTAAAGGAAAGCCGCCCGAAAACCTCAATCTCTTAACCATGGTTCTGCCACTTCGGATTCTCGGCGGTGGCTTTGTCGACAAGAGGCTGGGCATGTCCGACGGGGGAAGGGGGTTTGAACTAAGGGACCGAATACTAATAGAGGCCTCGGTCAGAGTCCCGGAATAAAGAAGAGTTTCTACCGTATGGCTTATGGCGCAAATTGTGCTTACAGGCGACAATAGAGATTTCAGTCAAAATAACGGTCCCTTCCTGCTCCATCCCCTCGGCGTCACAACTTCTCGATTGCAACTCACGCCAAAACACCCCCTACAAAAACCTCCTTACAATTATCATATTGTCCCAGTGACAGATGGTGGGCAGCCGGTTTCGCCTCCCCGCAACCCCCTAAATTAAAAAAAAAAAAAACAACAAATGAAGATAAAAGAACCATTATAGGCCTATTCAAATTTTAATTCTGAGAGTGCCGTCTCCGTGTATCTAGATGTGCCATAATCATAAATTTTCTTTACCTAGCCCCAACCATGGCGCGGCTGAGACCGTCCATCAGTGAAAGTCTCTCCCTGGGGGCCCTCTATTTCACAATTCCTCGTCCGCCATTGATATATGATCGTCGTTAAAACAGAATTTAGAATACAATGACAAACATGATTAACAAACGAGCACATCTAAAATCCTATAATGCAATTGGTTAACGGGACCCAAGAACGGACTCTAGTGTCAGGAACGAATAGGCCCCCGGCCCAGCGTACGCTACTGATCCCACTACCCATCTTCTTTTCTCTGTTTTCATTTTAAACAATGTGGGAACGCATCGTATTTAGTTAGGTTTTGAAATTCTATTGACGTAATGCCTTTGACTCCTTGCTCGAGTCTCGTCAAAGCAAGAAAGAAGCGAGGCCTATGTAGTTTGCTTGTGACTTTTGGCGTCAAAATCATATCAATTTTATTTTTTTAATGAAATGTACCACAGACAGTAAAGAGTATTCCACTTAAATACTAGTCAATTTTAACGATCTGTAAAATACACTTTTGAAGATATAGATCGAATAGAAGAAGACGCTAATTCATGCATGATATCCAGATGCAAATGAATATAGATCCGATGGTAGCCAATATGTATGTAGCAAAGATACTAGGAATACAAGTTAGAGTTCTCCACACAAAAAAAGTGTTCCACCGTGTTACACCGAAATGCATGGTGGGAATACGAAAAATGGGACGCCCCCTACAGCTGGATCTAAAAAAGCTTGTGCCAAACTTTCGTTACCAAGTCGTCTCGTATTTTATTATCAATTCTCAACAAAGATACTAGATATAAAAACAAACTGGAATAGACACCCAGACAGTGACATCGGCGAATACATAACCTCCTTGGTGGCGGTAGAAATCGTTGCTATTATCCAAATAATACACAAAACAATTAAAGCATAATCATGAATCAGTAAAGAATAAAACAACAATACAGCGCAGAATCGCATGGCCGGACGCACTATAAGATTTATATATATATAAAATTGTATAAGCGCCACGGCCTACGTGATGTTGTAGCATTTAAACGTAGGCAGTGGCTATTGTTTTACCAGTAATGAAATTCTTAATCCTTGATTGGATGTTATTTTATGTAAAGATTGGATTATAACAATAATATCCAATCATAATCCGTTTAAGATTGATGTGCAATAGCCCCTGCCTTGCATTATTAGGCTTCATTGTATTGTAATTTCCGTTTAACTGTCCGTGGATTGTATTGCTTTATTGTTGATCCAAAAGCGTAGTTTTCAAATAAAGGTATTATTAAATAATAATTATGACTGTTCCCTGGCCTTTGCAATAAACGGCACGAGTAGGAACACGTACTCCCCAGCACTTTGTGCCATTTTTCAAAATAAAGAGTACTCCTCATGTTAACTATTATTACTTCAGATACATTTCCTTATTTATATTGCTATTATAGGAGCGTTTTTCAAAAACCAAAAGGTCCACTGATTAATCTCAGATAAGATAGTATAATCAGGGAACAATGAAATTGTAATTTCCCTGGTATAATACATACTCTAAGTATCGAAATGCACGCCATCGTGTCGGGATTCAATATTCGACATTAATTATATCTTCATAATTGGCGTGCATTTCGATGATTGAAGTATGTATTAGCTTAATAGTATGGAGTTTCTCTTATTATTAAGCAAGTTAATTCAAGTTCTATATAAATGAATAATGCACATTAATTAATTCCATATTTGTCTTGTAGTATTTGTTATAAGTACTATTAAGGCCAACTCAGACAGCGTCGGCCGACGCAGCCCGACGCGATTTGTTGTCGCGTCGGGTCTGTGTGAGTTGAACGCAGACGCGATGGTGTGCGTCGGGGGCAGCTAGTCGCGTAGTAGAATATTAAACGTATTTAATATTTCTCACGACGGCTTAAGACTGTCCCCGACGATAAATCGGGTCGGGCTGCGTCGGCCGACGCTGTCTGAGTTGGCCTTTAGTTCTAATCTATGTTCATTAGATTGGAGGTGGAGGAATACATCTACTTGACAGTAGCTTCTTCGTTACTTTTATTTCTTCGTGGCAACTTCTTTTTACTTTACTGTATACTTGTAATGTTTTTTTTCCCCCTTTTTTTTTTGCCTGAATAAATAATAATATTGGATATTTTGTTTCAGCAGTCTTAATCGAATTCAATTCCGATGGAATGTAATGGTATAAGGATAGGATTATAACCACTATACCACCATGATCTAAATGTAAAAGAGTGAATTTCACTCTAAGAGAGTGCCTACAGAGATCATTCTAATTTATCGAGTGATCATCGGTGTTTAAAAAGAGTGAATTTTATGATTAGTAAAGTATTGTACTCTACATTTTTCTCTACTCCAAGTCTTTGGGACTCCAAATGGATACGACGGCCTTCTACAACTGGGCTAGGCCACCATTTTTGTATTTGTTCATTCTTTTGCAACCACCGCCAGAGCTTTGTATACACTGACAAAAGTTGCGGTGTATATAAATTCCTATTTATTTTTGTTCTTTAGCATTGTGATTAGGTTGAATAGGCCTAATGCTTTATTTGCAAAGGGCTCACGTAGAATGAAACCTTTCGTTAGATTACAATCAGGTCTGTCCGGGTCACGTAGGCCTACCTGTCATCTATTAAAGCAAAGAGTCTTTATGCCCCCTTTTTATACCTTTTGAAGAAATAACCTTTAAAGAATAAAGAACACACGCTATAAATTCTCTTTAGAAAGTCATCTTTAACAGGTCAAAGTATTAGTATTGGTACAGACAGAAATCTCGTTCGTTCGTATGAATCATAATCGATTCTAGTTGCTGTTATTAATTGACTGGAACAGTCCTAACTGGGTCACCGACGAGCAGGTTAACAGCATGACCCACCCATGTATACTCCTGGGTAGGCAAACGTTAAGTAAAGTGTCTTGCCCAAGGACACAAGCAATGCGACGAGCGTCGGTCTCGAACTACCGACCTCCCGATCGTAAGCCCAACACCTTACATGCTGCGCCACACGCTCCCACAACACAGAGATCTAGCCTAACTGCCTGCTTTTTATTAAACGGAAACCCACATTTCGCCGGTCCAAATAAAAATACCTTCGTTCTGTATAGCTTTTGTTTCCTTTGCAAAACTAGTAACTATCTTTGGGGTCAGGGTGCACAAATGGTCACCTTCTACTATTAAGGTGATAGCGATAGCACGATTGTCGCTAATTATAACTTGAGGCCTCGTGAAGTGGGTGAATAAACGATGTTTTCTAGATAGTTTAGTTTGGAGAAAACGGATTCAATTTCTTGATAACAACCTGATGACTCTTTTCTTCACTCCGTCTGGACCAGTACACGCCTTTCATTCAGAAAAAATCTCTTGGAGCACTTTTGGCGATATAAGCTTAAAAAAGAAATGAAAACTAGGACTGTCAAATTTTTTCATTATTTTCTGAGACTTAAACTACCATGGCAACGGGTAAAAACTCCGCGTACATAGGTCTAGGCCAGAATTCTTTTCAAACTGTTTACAGCCCTCAGAATTTATAGGTCTACA